CGTCACCATTTTCGACATCTTGAAGAAAAATGAAATGTAAAACTCAGATGAAGCATTTATTTACTTATTGTCTGGTTTTGTTTCATGAAATTTCTGAAAAGGTGAAATTAATTGAATTAAGTGCTAACGTGCCGGAGTTCTGACCATATGTATATATTTTTTTCTGATATCATTCTTTAAATAGTGTCAATGAAATAGTGACAAACAGAGTACTAATAGCATATACTATCACATTTTAAGTAAAAAAGGGGCTCGGCCGGACCAAACGTGAATGAGTTGTCTCGGAGATTTCTTGTCAAATCAATAGCTAAGCAACCGCCACATACCCGGATTCCACCATTATTCACCCACTCTCTTCTCTTTAGAAGAAATTATTTTATGCGGAAACCGGACTTTCCGGTCATCTGAATACTAAACAGAATGTGTCACGTGAGTAGTGTCAAGTCACAGTACGCAGTGGTACCGAGTAGTACTTAACCATTGGTACCAAGTAGCACCGAATCGTGGTACCAAGCACATGGTGATATGACACATTCTGATTAGTCTTCGGATGATCCGCACATAATAATTAATCCTCTCTTAGAGCGACCTTTTTTATTAGGAAATTATACCTATATATATAATAGGTGCATTATAGATTCATATAGAAGGAATCCTTCCTAATAGATTTATGTTGGTGGATTAAATACGCACAATTGGGTGGTCTTATTATACCTAAATTCATAAATAATAGCTTTAAGAGGACAATGTGTGATCTTGAGATTTGAGCGACGAGTGATCATATAAAGGTTAAAGATGCTTAGCACAAATTTTTTTTAAACTCATATAGTTTGCATCCTACTGTCAACAAGACCAATAATACAATATTAACCACTAATTCTTAGAATGATATTGATCTAATTCTTTCATTCAGCTAATTAAAGAAGACGAGTTATCAAATTGTGTCGATTGATGTTATTTGATGACGACGGTGAATGTGATATATCATGTACATTATCTCTCATAAAAGTTTAGATGATAATTTCAATTTAATTATTGTACTATCAATCAAAACTTTTTTGGCTTACGATACCCGACTTTACTATCAGATCCATCTGGTGAGCTAAGAATCTATCAGTGAAAATGTGAAACATGGAGAGTAGAGAAGAAGGGAGGAAGAGAGTAAGCTGACCAAATCTTTGGTTGAATTTTTGAATGATAAAGTGAAAACTTTACAAGTTTGAGAGCTCACTAAATGAAGTTGTATGCAGATGATGGAGAATACAGAGGTGGGATCATGGATGATGAGGCCTAGACAAAGAGAAACCAAGTCATGTTGAACTTATTATATGATAGGCTTCAAGGTGATATAGATGAAAAAGAATAATATTAATCTCACCTCGAAAGTAAAAGAAATTTGGGTTATATAAGTAGAGACCTATATTATAATTGTAAGCTGAGTATTGTGGTAATTGATGTATTTCTTCTTGTTATTCCGCATCAAGCATGCTCATAATAGTAGGAGTGTCAATTTTTGACACGACCCAAAACATGATCCGAACCCGATCCGAAAAAATCCGAGTTAGGGTCAACCTGAACCCGAAACAGGTCGAATTCAAGGTCAACAAATCAAACCGTTTTAAAAACCTGGTTTGGTTCGGGTTGACCCAGCAACCCGAAATTGACCCAAAAACTCGTATTTGACCCGAAAATCCTTTTTGACCCGTTTTTTTATAAAAAAATCGAAGATTGGCCCGATTTTTGATCGGAAAACTAGCAATTTTGAGTCAACCTCGAGTAATTCATGTCGGGTCGGGTTGAACCGGACCTGAATAGGGTCCAAAAACCTGACCCGTTTTTAAAAACGGGTCAGGTTCAGGTTGACCCGAATAGTGCCGGATCAGTTCCGAATTCGACCCGAACCCGACCCGTTGACCCGAATTGACACCCCTACCTAATAGAGCCCTATGATAGATAAATTATTAGAAAATTATAAATAAAAAAAAATCAAATCACATCAGAAGTTTCCACTTAATATGGAACGAGTTTGGCCAACATGGATAATATATTTTATTTTGATGCGTGACACTTCTATTCACCTCATTCTTTCATTCAAATAATTCAATAAGATAAGCAATCATGTTGGGTGTGATAGACGAGAGAGATGAGAGAGCGGCAGTTGTGGTTTGATATGTAAATTGTTGATGTTGAGATTATTAATTTGATGGGGATTTGTGTGTTGTGAATGTGCTTTGAATGTGTTGGTTGGTCAAAAGCACCAAGAAGCAAGAAAATGTCTCCGCTCTGTGTGGTTTCAGCTTGCATCTTTCGATTTTTTTAGGATTTTTGCTCCTAGGTGCGATTTCGGTTGGGTAATTCCTTAATCCTCTTCTTTCTTGCGATTTTCTTCCATATGATTGCGGATCGTTTAAGGGATCCGAGGTTTTTGGATGGTAAGCCAAAAGCTAGGTCGTTTAGAGATGTTTTGTCGGGTGAATCAGATTTGTCTGACTTTCCTCTACTCAAAGTCTCTTCACACCATGGTTTGCTTGCTTTGCTGCTTTCGGAGGAGGAAATGTTATATCTCTTGCAGCGTCGTTTGAGTTTTCCTTAGTTGGAAAGTTTCCGGGCCAACCCCCGCCTGTTGATTCTATTCAATTTTTTTTTTTTCAATTTAAAGTTGTGTGGTGCCTTTTTCGGTTACAGTTTTGAACTCTAAAAATGTGTTAATTAAATTTGTGAATGATTTAGATTATTGTAGGATTTTTTTTCACACCGCTCCTATTTCGTTAGCAATTGCTACGTGAAGCTTTTTAAATGATTTAGATTATTTCTCTTGCAGCGTCTCTCCATTTTGAAGTTAATGTGGAGCCCTCTATAGTTCCCGTTTGAGTTTCATTTCCTAGTTTACGTCCGCATCTCTTTTCCCCCTATACTTCATGGGTTGGGGTCTTTGTTTAGAAGACATTTGAGAGCGAATAATGCAACAATTAATGATTATAGACATTCTCTTGCTCACATACTTGTTGAAGTAGATGTTACTAAAAGATACACTTCTCAAGATTGGCTCGGTTCCCGTGTCTATGGGGTACATTCAATCGGTCGAAATGAAAGAGTTTCCTTCGTATTGCTCACATTGTAAAACATTGGATCATTTGAAGGATGGTTGTTTGATTTTATTTCCTAAGTTGAATGATGCTCCTCTTGTAAAGAAGGGGGTTGGGGCTGATATTCATGCTTCGTGTGACATTGATGATGTTATTCCAGCCAATGATTCGGTTGGAGTGGCCCAAGGTCAATTGTTTTTTAATCAATTTGTGAATTATGATCATGATGATAAGGTTGTTTCAAATTTGCCTAATGTTGTGGGGCATGAGGCTATGCCTAATTTTGCTAAGGAATCGAGTGATATTGTTTTTCATAGCTCTCGTGATTTCTTATCTCCTATTATGATTAATGAGGTGGCGGCGAGAGGCCTTTTGTTTTAAACTAAGGAAGTGGGGGTTGATGCTACGACCTTGTCTCCTGATGAGGTGGAGGTTTAAAATGAGGTGAAATGGACTGCTGGTCAAGTTGATGTGTGTGTTGTTTCGTCTGAGCTAGGAGGTGAAATGCACCGAACCGCGGTACTGAGCAGTACAGAGCCACAGTACCATTCAAAAGGATGACATAGCCCATTCTGGACGATCTTCAGATAAGGTTCAGGATCCGCACATAACAATTTATATGGGACTACGAACGACATTTTAAATATCAACCTACTTGCGTTTATATTGATTTATTTAAACACATGTTATGCTGACAGAGTTATTTTTAGTTGGTGACTTTTGCCAAATTTGACTTTTTTTTAGAGTAGAAGTATGTTTCAGATTTTATTGGTGTAAATGGTTTATTTGTTTATTTAAAAAAATCAATTAATGAAATAATTAAGAGTAAGCTCACGAGCTCACAAGTCGAGCCTTATCAAACTCAAACTCAAGCTCCTCTGATAAACGAGCTTAAGCTAGAGCTCGCGGCTCAATAAGCAAACAAGGCTTGCGAGCTTGATATCAAGTCGAGTTCGAGCCACCTCACACCCCTAATCTCAATAATGAAATATAAGAAATAAGACTCATGCGCCACTTTCTTCTATTCAACTAATTAAACAATATGAGTTATCAAGTTGTGTGATTGGTGTTATTTATTGATTATGGGTTGATGAAAATATTAATTTGAGATATCGCAATCTGCAAATCATATCTTTCACAGCCATTTAGATGATAATTTTAAACTGCCATCCACTTTGTTACATCTTATTTCATAACAAATCACAATACAAAGCAAGCGACGCCAATATACAAATAAAACTGTGTCGGGACAGTGACGCCATTTTAAATATCAACTTACTCTCGATTGATCGAATGATTCATTTAAACCACAGCGGCTGGAACTGGAAGCAACTCATGGAACAACTTGACAAAGGAATCCATCTTCTCCGTCTCCAAGGAACAGCAAACCTTGACGCCGCCGTCGGGGCTTGACAAAATAAGGAACTGTCGAGGGTAGATGAAGGTCGCGGGTCCCATGAACTCCGGCGGCCCCCACCCGAAGTCCACCTCGTTTAGCGGCAGCCTATGCCAGCTTCCCACCGATATATCCGTCGCAGCGAAGTTCCCTGCAGATCTAGCCAGCCGCCGCTTATCCTCCTGGAGCTCCAGGTAATCCACCACAGACCGTAAATATTCTTCATCCAGCTTCTCAATCGCATCCCTTATCCTCGCCGCCCGGAGCCCCGACGCCACCTCCGCCGCAGGCGCAATCGCCACCGTAACTGTAATCGCATTTCCGACGAAGTCGCTCGGAATCGTATGGCTCAGGCGGCGGCGCAGGTCGGCAGTCGTCACAAGACGAATTTCCTCGTCGAGTCGGACCGGGCCTCGGGCAAGGCACGTGCATCGCCAAATATGAGCGGCCATAGACTCAAAGGAAGTGTATTTGTCGCCACACGCCGCCTTGACGGCGACGAGCTGGGCGGCTGTGACATTAAGAAAAGTGAACGAGACGGGCTCCTGTTTCTCGGGCCGTTCCCGTAAGTCAAATTCAGGGTGGTGGAATTGGACCGTTGGCGGAGACCGCGCACGGAGGGAGGTGCGATCGATGTACGGGGTTGGGATGGGCCGGGTCGGGTCACGGGTGGTGTCTGCCCAATCGCACATAAACCTCGTCGCAGCAATGCCATCACTCGCTTGGTGGTGGAGGGCGGTGCCGAGGCAGAGACCGCCGCATTTGAACGTGGTGAGCTGGACCATGAGTATCGGAATGCTATCGCCACTCCTCTCCAATGCGTTGAACCCATCGGTCGGGACGAGCAGGCGACAGTTGTCAAGAGAAGGTTTGTAGACTCCGAACTCATCCAGCGTGAGATTAGAGACAGCCTCGAAGAACAAAGCCCCTTTGCCGGTGCAGCTGATCTCAAGGCGGCCATGGGTTAATTTGGCGAAGCGACCGGCGAATGGGTAGTACGAGACAAGGACTCTGGCGAGGGAGGCTTTGATGGAAGCTGCCGGCGAGGGAAAGCTGGGATCAGAGGAAGTGTTGCGGAAGAAGCAGACGACACGAACATGTGTGGGTGCAGCGAAGAGGTCGAGATTGGAGAGCCAGATGGGGCTCCTTGGTGTGGGGAGAGCCGGTGGTACCAAGCAAGAGTTCACCACCTTCACCATTTTCGCCATCTGGAAGGAAATGAAATGGAAAACTTAGGTGAAGCCTACTTGACACCGCCGGCTGTCGTCGCAAGGCGGATCACCGGTTGTCTGGAGCAATCACGCGGGCATCTGTTATCTTGCCTAACTTCGGATCTGCAAACAGATGACCAAGAAGCCAATGGCGGGAAAGAAAGAACAGGGATTCAAAAACAGAACGAAGTCTGAATATTCGAAAATCAATCCTCTCGTGTTTCGTACAATTCAGGTTATTTAAAGAGAACTAAGAAGAAAGCTAGATACATGGCTACACGCACTAAGCTACACCACAACCAACTAAACATCAGTAGCTCCTGCGTCATTCACCCGGGGTGGGGAAATGTCTTCTAAGTCGACATGGGGCGTGAGATCAGATACATTGAAGACTGCCGATACATTGTAATCGCCAGGAAGCTCTATTTCGTATGCATTATCATTGATCCTCTTGAGCACTCTAAAAGGTCCATCGGCCTTGGGTTTCAACTTGCCAAACGGGCCTGGGGGAAATCGTTCCTTCCTCAACTTGATCCAGACCATATCGCCAACCTGGAAGACAACGGATCTCCGGTGTTTGTTAGCTTGTTTTTGATACCTGGTGTTCTGCTGAGCAATCTTATCCCGCACTTGCTGATGAAGCTTTATGATCTCCTCGTTGCGACGCTCCCCGTCTTGACTGTAAACGGACACAGATAATGCAGGTAATAAATCCAGAGGCGTCAGAGGATTGTTACCATATACAAGCTCGAACGGAGTATGGCCAGTCGTCTGGTTAATCGAGCGATTAAATGCAAATTCAATCTGAGGGAGAATGAGGTCCCATTGCTTCAAGTTCTTCCCTACAAAACACCGCAGCAAATTACCGAGACTCCGGTTCACGGTTTCTGTCTGACCGTCCGTTTGAGGATGGGCAGCCGAACTGAACTGCAGCCGGGTGCCCAATTTTCCCCACAAGGTTCGCCAGAAGTGACTGAGAAATTTATCATCTCGGTCGGAGACGATGGTCCGCGGTATCCCGTGGAGTCGAACGATCTCTTTAAAATACAGATCACTGATATAGGTGGCATCCAAGGTCTTATGGCAAGCAATGAAATGGGCCATTTTGGAAAATCGGTCTACCACGACCATGATTGAATCTTTATTCCGCTGCGTTCGCGGTAATCCCACCACGAAGTCCATGCTAACGTCGTCCCACGGCCGCACCGGAATGGGCAATGGAGAATACAACCCTGCATTGGTAAGAGTAGTTTTAGCTCTCCTACATACCTGACAGCTCCGGATATACTGAGTGACTTCTCTTTTTATGTTTGGCCAGAAAAACTTCTCGCGGGTGAGGAACAGAGTTTTATCTCGGCCAAAATGGCCAGACAGCCCCCCGTCATGGCATTCTGCGATTACAGCTAACCTCAGCGAACAATCCGGAATACAGATACTCGAACTTTTGAACAAGAAATCATCCTTGAGGTAGAACAGTTGATAAGGAGTTTGTTGGCACTTTCTCCATATTTCCCCAAAATCTGAATCAGCGGCATACATCTCCTTGATAACCTCAAACCCGACCAGTTGCGCTTGCACTGTCTGCAGTAGAGCATGACGCCGGCTTAACGCGTCGGCCACCTGGTTGTCCTTGCAAGATTTATGTTTGAGCACAAACTGAAATGCATATAAAAATTCTGACCATGTTGCATGCCTCCCTCTCAATTTTTTTTGGCTGTCTAAAAACTTCAACGCGGCGTGATCTGTGAACAAGATAAATTCTTTACATAAAAGATAATGACTCCAGTGGTGTAAGGTTCTTACAATCGCGTAGAATTCTTTATCATATGTAGAATATCTTTGGCGCACTTCGTTCAGTTTCTCGCTGAAGTATGCGATTGGCTTCCCCTCTTGACTCAAGACAGCTCCTATACCAATATTAGACGCATCACATTCAACTTGGAATAACTTGTCGAAATCAGGAAGGCGTAAGACGGGCGTCGAAGTCATCTGTCTTTTTAGCTCATCAAAACTGCCCTGAGCCTCTTGATTCCAGCAGAAAGTACTGGATTTGAGCAATTCAGTGAGGGGTGCGGCAATGGTGCTGAAACGGGCAATAAAGCGTCTGTAGAATGATGACAGACCGTGAAATCGTCTTACGTCGGTAAATGAGCAAGGTATGGGCCAAGTAACGATGGCTCCGATTTTCTCTGGATCTACCTCAATCCCCTCTGCCGAGAGAATGAATCCCAGGAATTGAATCCGAGAATCCAAGAATTGACATTTTCTTGGATGACAGTAGAGTCGTTGCTCTTTTAAAATCTGTAATACCTGTTTCAGATGCTGCATATGGGACTGTAAATCTTTACTGTATATCAGAATGTCGTCGAAATAGACGATCACACAATGGCTCAATAACGGTTGAAAGATCTGATTCATGAGGCGCATAAAGGTACTGGGCGCATTTGACAGCCCGAAGGGCATAACCAGCCACTCGTACAACCCATCACGTACCTTGAACGCCGTCTTCCATTCATCA